TTCCACCCTCAGTGTGACGGAAAGAAAGCCACTGTGACGATCATCCGTGTTGGTTCGTACGTGTTTGGTGGATTTACAGACAAGTCATGGCATTCCGGTAAAACGATTATCTAACATCTATTCCAAGTTGATTTCAATTCACGACTTTCAATTAAATAGCGCCATATCTCACAATCGTCAACCAGTGCACTGGGGACGAATCACTAAAACGAGGTCTCAGATGTCAGTCTCTGTATAATAAACTTCTAGGGTGTCTTGCAAGAGTGTTTTGTTATAAATAACATACCAATACATCTTTCAAACTTTTGTACACTACCTACATACGATCGTCGTAGTGATTTCTAGATGTAAGGCCCTTTGAGGTCTCGTTTCCATGATTCATCACTAGTCCCCCAATAGTGGAGGTCGCGAACTATCGCCATTTTTGAAAGTCGTGTATGACTTGCCTCTTTATGACGTCATGTAAATTTAGCGAAGTTTATCATGGTATTGAATGTCAAGATGGAGAATGCGTTGTGAAGACTACGTATTACGGTCTCTTTGTTTGTTCTTTTTTTATTTTATTTTTTTTTTGTGTGTGCGAGATTGACGTTAACATTTATTGGGGATGATTGAGATTAACTTTTTAACCTTTGAACATAACTAAGTACACTCAACGACCAGTCACTCAACGACCAGTCAGAGCTTGCAATGCTTGTTGTTCGCAAAACAGACAGCAACGTGTCTTCAGTTAGAAATTTCTTCCATTCTATGGCACATCTCGACATAAAATATTCCATGGGGTCGCCCCACGATATGGAATCTGAAATACAACAACATGACTGGAATCTGCGGCAATGAAATCCGAATTAGTGACTTTGAATGGTTCGCAAACGAGTCATTAGCAATGAAAAAAAAGCCAGGATGCTTTGCAGTTAGAATCCAATACTGACTGGAATTCAAAATCATTAAGACATTTTTCATGGAATCCGCAATCCAGGCTTCGGATTGCGTGTCATTGAGCGAGGGGGCGTATCCAGGATTTTTCAGGGCAAGGGTGCAGGTCAACCAAGGTAGGGGGTGCACTCCATAAAAATGGATAGAAATGAGACACCAAATGGGGAAAAACATCAAAGGGTTCTCGGAAGAGGGTGTCCACCCTCCTGAACTGTGCTCAGAATGCACAAGAGAAAAGAGAGAAGACAGGGTGGTCAAAACTCAGCATATATTTAATGAGTATTATTATTTTCCAGGTCATATTTATGTCACTTCAAGCAAGTCGTTTTTGTTCTCCTTGTACAACACCAACGGTTACCAACCAATCATGTTCAACCTGACTGGACAGTACAACCATAAAGCCATATTTGGCTATACTACTTATGGACCAACATTTGGCTATCCACATGACATTTACATTGCCAATCTTGCAGGTAGTTCACCAAACTCGTACACAAAACCCGGAGCTTATCAACCACCAGACGGGTGCAGCTACAATAATGAATGTTCTTTCATGGCCGGAACGTTTAGATACAAGCCAAACGATATTGAAGTATTCTTTTATTCCTCTTTATAGTTTTGGTTCGGCGGTAATGTTTCTGTCAAGGCTTCTCATATGCAACCACCCAGGTCGTCTTTACAACATGTTGTAAGGAGACTTAGGTATGTTGCATGTGATGCCCCCGGGGGGGACTCCCTAATATCAAAGGGCGGGGGTCCTCGGCGGAGATTGTGAAAATGACCCCTAAAAGGGACCTCTATTGTGAGATGATGGGCGTGGCAGTGCTGAAATTTCAACCCTAAAAGGGACCAATCAATAACAGGTCATTTTGTGTTTTGGTTTACCGATTTTATTTGTGTTTTTACACAATCATCAAACATCGGTATTTGAGTTTATGACGACGTTGCCATTTTATGACTGCTTAGGGTCGCCGTATACCCTAACAGGGACCACAAAACTCAGTTGGTAGGAATTCTTGTCATGATCACGCTAAGCGGGACCAAAATACTGATTTCAAACACTAAAAGGGACGCCGAGGAGCCTCGCCCTTTGATATTAGGGAGTCCCCCCCGGATGTGATGGTTGTAGGCTAACGTTGTACCGTCTAATTCGGCCGTTACTACAGCACCTTTTAAGTTAATTGGATAATCACCAGATTTCACGAGATAAGACTTACATAGAAAGAAAGCCCTTGCTGAGAAATGCAAAATTCCAAARTCTGGTGTCAATCAGTTCAATAGTGAACGAGTTGGCTTTCAAATATTCTAAAATTTGCAAAGAAATGTATGGGAAACTGCAAATGTGTCCGAATTCTGCACGGCTTTCCATACATTTCTTTGGAAATATAAGAATATTTGAAAGGCTGTAACTCGCTCMCTATTGGACTGATTTACATCACATTTTGGAATTGTGCATTTCTCAACAGGGGCTTTCTTTCTATTCAAGTCTTATCATGATTAACCAATTAGGGGATTTTGCCCAGTCCCACACGGTTTGAAATCCGGCAACGGATATATATTCCTATACRCATACACAACATAGTTGTTCTAGGTCTTTGGACGGAAGTTACGAGCAAAATCCCGTGAGGAAATGGACAAGCTTGATAAACGAAACTCGCTGTCATTTCCATTATCACATATATTACTTTGTATCCACTGAAAGGAGTAGACCTTTCTCCACAATAGCCGCCAAATGTTTTGAAACTCAGGCACAAATTGTCCCTAAGGAACTAAAGTATATAATTCACTTAGAGCCTTTGTAACATTCTAACAAAGCCATTAAAAGCCGTAGAGATCTCTAGGGGTATGTTAGTCATACCTCCAATCACATAAATTCTCTGTAAAATGGTAAATTTTGCGAAATATTTTAAAATTGCAGCTAGGATGTTGCATGATAAGAAATTTGAGTCGTCTCTAGCTTGATAATGAGATTTATTGCAGACGTTTCGACCGCAACTGCGATCTTCTTCAGTGCAGTGGCAAAAATGCAAAGTGTGCACGCTATCAAGCTAGAGACGACTCAAATTTCTTATCATGGCAAATTTTGGTTCGTTGGTTGATTTGATGGGTTGTTAACGGTTGGAATTTGTTGTTTGTTTGTTCAGTTTGTTGTTTGGTCGGTTGTTTGGTCGGTCGGTCGGTTGGTTGTAGGTTGGCTGGTTAGTGGATTGGTCGGTCGGTCGGTCGGTTGGTTGGTTGTAGGTTAGTTGTTGGTTTGGTGGGTTGGTTGTAGCTTAGTTGGTGGGTTGCTTGGTTGGTTGCATGGTTGGTTGCTTGGTGAGTTGCTTGGTTGGTTGATTGGTTGATTGGTCGATTGGTTGGTTGATTGGTTGGTTAGTTGGTTGGTTGGTTGGTTGGCTGATTGGTTGGTTGTTTGATGAGCTGGTTGGTTGGTTGGTTGGACGTTTGGTTGGTTATAGGTTGGTTGGCTGGCTGCCTGGTTGGTGATTGATTAGTTGGTAGGTTTGTTGGCTGCCTGGTGATTGCTTCGGTGTTTGTAAACTCTGTTCACCATCACTCGCTCTCATGAGAAATAACATTTCTAAATCAGGTGCTGCCGTTTGTGCACTGGAGGAGCAACRAAATGCTTTAAAATTTCTATTTATTTCTAGAAGTTCATCGAAATATTCTGCGATTCCTTCTTAATCACCAAAAACAATGAGCAGTTTTCCCATTGGAATTGAAACTGTCCGAGCAACAAACACAAAATCGAATATTGTAACTGAATTCATTAGCTTTTCCTGACAAAAATGGAAAACAATATATAACACGGAAAGTTCCAACAAGGCAAGTTCCTACATAGCAACGTAGCAATAGTATCTAGGGAGGTAGGACAATGATTTGGGATCGGTCAATTATGCCAAATCGTTGTCTTAACTGGCTTTCCAGTGTCATTTTCATGTTAAATTTTCGTACTAATTGTCTATAAGTAAACGTAAGTTTCCCTATCAATACCCAGGGGCGGATCCAGCTGGTGGGTGCAGGGAGTACGCACCTATCCCCCCCCCCCCCCCCCGAGATCTGTATCCTTCAAATACTTTCCTTATTTTGTATATTCATGGTAATGAGTTTTTTGGGGTGCACCCCCTACTGAGTGCCCCGCATCCCTCCCTGAGGAAAATCCTGGATCCGCCCTGGTACCATGATGCACTTGGACAAGCTAAACATGGAGTCCTGAGATAAGATGATCTTAACTTCATGCAGTACCTGATAAGACCGATGCAATTGAACGTGAAAAGATCATATCCACTGCCTCTTTTCTCATTTGGTATACTTTCCAACACAATGTTCAAGGCTGGAGTTATCAGCAACCCCTCTCCAACACCATAACCAATAGAATACAACACTAAGGCATAGAAAACCGAGGTCGAAGGTAAAATTAAGTTGCCCAAAGCAAGAAGTATATTGCCAAGTAAACATATAATTGGAAGAGATAAAGGTCCATTTTTTCCAAATTTTGCGACAAGAAGTCGAGATGCTGTAGAGCTGAATCCAATGATAAAGTACAACCATGAAGATCGTTTGCTTTCGATTCCTATATCTTCTGAGAGCTTGGCCTTCAAAGAAACGTAAGAGATTTTTAGTTACTTTAGATTAAGATTGGTTCTTAAGCGCTCTCTCATTCGTCTTTAGATCATTACACGCGCTGTGATTGGTCCTTACTCTCCGATAGGTTCAAGAACACTCCTTATCAAATTCATTAATAATTCATAAGGTAAATTAATACAAAGGAAAATCGTTGCCGTGACCACATCTTTATATTAGCAAGAGATTTGTCCTGATTTGTATGCAGCTCGCAGTTCTAAATGCCCATAAAGCGGGTCTCCTCCCCATATTTCATATATTACAAGGAGGTCCTTTCCTTGGGTAGAAATTTCCGATTACAAACAAATTTACACAAATTCGATGCTAAGCCTATTTGCACTGGAATTTGACAATTATAATTACCAAATGGACGAACGGCATGCCATGTCCAAAGCAGGAAACCGCCATCGTAATCGTCGCCAACAAAAATTCCTTTATTTTTAGAGCTGAAAAGTAGCAAAAGTCGCCAGCTAGGCAAGACCTTTCTTCACTACGATTCTCAACCTCTTCATCAGTAGTTAAACTATTGTTTGGATCCGCTGATCGCGTGACAATTGATACAAGGAAAGGTGCGCGAGTGAAAATGCAGACATAACGAGCACAGTTATTCTCCAGTCCAAAGATTGATTTAAATTCTGCACAATTGGAGTCATTAGTAACAATGAAGAGCCTGGACCACTTGAAACTATAGAAAATGCTTCGAACTTGTATTTATCAAAGTATAATGGAATGGCCATCATKGCACTGAAATACACCATACAGCTTCCAGTTCCAAGAAGAAATCCAAAAGTTCCAATTAAAACACCGATATTCGGAGCATATGACGATGATACCATTCCTACTGAAGAGAGTATGCTACCAGTAAATAGGATCTTACGGCTTCCAAATTGATCGCATAGTTTACCAATGAATATTCCTAGTATACCCGTGTTAGAAACGGCGGCAGAGCCAGGGATTGCTGCGTGTAAGATTTAAAAGAAAGAGGTTACATGGAGGGGGACGAAGTCCAGATTTTATTTTCTTGCGGTTTCAAGACTTTTRAAAAAGGTGATTGACTGCAAAATTGAAATGAATGTTTTGATTCAAGCCGAAAAAAATGTTCTATAGTTAATAATAATTAGTTAGTTTGTATAGTTGTGTTATAGATGTAAATAATTTTTTGAAAACCAATACTTTGGAAAACGAATTGATAATTTTTATTTATTTACTATTTATTCGACACTCCAGAAATGTGTAACTCTATTGATTTATCAAATAAGTTCTCGTACCAAAGCTTCTGTTTGGCAAGTAAGCAAGGAAGAGTGTTTCTGGAAACTCTGGACCCCTTTGCACACGCCCCTGTTTCAAAACACACAACTTAAATCATTTAAACCTAGCCTCTTCCACAGGCATCACTAAGAATCACGGACTTCCTGTCTTTTTGAGCAGTCAAAAGAGGGAGAATTTTTCCTATCTCGTCACTAGTCTATAACGGCCAAAATGACCGTTGCAAAGGAAGCTCAAAGGAGGAAAAAAGAGTTGCCTGTGGTGGAGGCTAATTTAAACCCTACTTTAATAGTATAAAGTGTAAAAAGATACACTTATTTTAAAAACATTGTCAGATTAAAAGGTGACATCATCGAAGTAAAGGGTCATGAGAAGGTAAATAGGCAAATAAATTTTGGAATTCAATAACATTGACTTAAAGTGTTTGGGTTTTACCTGGGGTATTAAAATTTACGGAGTGACTAAACGTCAGGCAGCCTTAAAAAATTGTCGGAACAACCGTAATTTCAATTAGTAAAACAGGGGAAATGCAATAAGGACCGACATAATGCTGTTCGACAAGTTTCAAAAACAAGCACGGCACTTTGAGATTTTTCGACTGCCTAACGTTTAGTCCCAGAACTAAACGTCGGGCAGTCGATTTTTTTGTGAAAAGTCGTCGCAACAACTGTCGTCGGAACAATAGCACAAGAGAAATTGAATAAAGACCAAAATAAGGGTCTTGTCAGAAATTAGCAGTGAGAAGGGGAGGTGGAAATTGAAAACTGGGTACTGGAAATGAATGGTGATGACATACCAGAGTTGTGGAAGTGAAATTTTCTATCCCTCCCTGTATCAGACCATCCCCCTTCAACCATTACCACAACAATTTATCATTGCCCCCAAGCAGCCAGTGAAAGATGGTGCAGGGACTATAATTAGAACATTGTTTCTTCATTTTAAAGGGATAATGATTAGGATATTTGATAGGCAGTTAATAATAATAATAATTGGTTCACAGTATAAATTTATAAAAAAGTTGTTTATTTGGTTCAATGGCCACATCAACACTGAGACAAACAAAGTATATCAAATGTATAAAGTGAGCATTACTTACAATAGATGCATCGAATGTCCTTATGAACTGCCTATCAAATATGCTAATCCTTATACCTTCAAAATGAAGAAAGAATGGTCCAATTATAGGCCCTGCACCATTCAGTGAATGCTTGGGGACAATTATAAATTCTGGTAATGGTTGAAGTGGGACGTGGAGGGTCACGATATTTTGCCCGTCTTATATCAGGGTTAGAAAATTTTACTTCCCCACTATGGTTGGTCACCCTATTCCCAATACCAACTTTTCAATTTCTACCTCCACTCCCCCTGCTAATTTTTGACAAGACCCTTATTTCGGTCTTAATTCCATTTCTCTTGTGCTCATTGAAATTACAGTTGTTCCGACGACTTTTTTCACAAAAAAGTCGACTGCCTGACGTTTAGTTCGTGGTCACGACAAGAATAAGTGAAACTACAGAAGGAGCCGACGGGGGTCTGTTTTTCTAAATTAACTGTTCTTGTACGATTTATTTTTCCTGGGAAAGAAATTTTTAGCTACATTGTTGACAATCTCACAACAAAATGTGGCGCCACCGAAAAATATAATTGTAGTTATAATAACGACGTTGTCAAGAGACCACACTAAAAAGAACCCCGAGTACACGCTGACAAGCGTCTTGTTGAAATTACGGTTATTCCGACAATTTTTCACAAAGAAAATGTGCTGCCTGATGTTTAGTTTTGGGACTAAACGTCAGGCAGTCAATTGATCTCAAGTGGCCGTGCTTGTGACTGTACAAACTTGTCGAACAGTGTTATTTCGGTCTTTATTTGTTTTATTAATTTAAATTACGGTTGTTCCGACGATTTTTCAAAACAAAAATCGACTGCCTGACGTTTAGCTCTGGGACTAAACGTCAGACAGTCGAAAAATCAAAATTGTGTTTGAAACTTGTCGAACAGTATTATTTTGTTTGGCCTTTATTGCATTTCTCTTGTTGTATTAATTGAAATTTTGTTTCGACGATTTTTAGACAAATAAACTTCGACTGCCTGACGTTTAGTCCTAGGACTAAAGGCTGCCTGACGTTTAGACACTCCGTAAAATTTACCCCATACCAATTTCCTTTTCTGGGATTAGAACACTCTGAAAATGTTTGGTTTTGTCTGGTTTTGAAGCATCCCGTGAGAGATGTGCCCCTGGCTGATGGTACCACATATAGCTCTCCAATATAAAAATATATCTACAAATACTTTCTTACATCTATTTTACCATTCTTCACGATTTATATCAGTGCTATTTGCCTGGCTGGGCATGGTTGGACGCGTGAACTTACGGCGAATCCCGATCTTCGTTCTAAGCGCGACGACCACCCATACCTAGCCTTGGCCCTCGATAATCCACTTGTAATGTTTATTTTACTATATTTAAAAGTCCTACTAAATCTCAGAATAGCGCCTCCGCGTAACATTAAAATTAAAAATTAGAATTACAAGTATCAAACAAGACTGAATACTACTACATTGGCTTTCATATTAATTAAAATCGAAAATATATATCAATTTGCATCGCAATGGATGAAGAGAGCTGAAGCTGAAAGGCTTTTATGGAAATTTCTGTCGATCAGAAGGCTCTAGGCTCGCATAATTGATACACGAATTCTATTTTGTAGGAGTGCAAATTTAAAACGGTGAAAACCGTTTTTTTTACTTAAAAGTATAATTAAATAGTCTAAATAGTGCTAGCATTGTACTGAATTATGTGAATTCCTTAGTTTTTTTATTGTAAATCTACAAAATTTCATCGCAATGGATGAAGAGAGCTGAAGCTGAAAGGCTTTTATGGAAATTTCTGTCGATCAGAAGGCTCTAGGCTCGCATAATTGATACACGAATTTTATTTTGCAGGAGTGCAAATTTAAAACAGTGAAAACCTTAAGTATAATTAAAAAGTCTAAATAGAGCTAGCATTGTACTGAATTATGTGAATTCCTTAGTTTTTTTTTATTGTAAATCTACACTATATTGCGCCTTTTAGTACAAAATATACTCCAGTTTTCTTACCCGCTAGAGCGCGACTCGATTTTAACCCTCTTAAAATGTCTGGGAAAAGGATCCCATAAGTCGACGTACAGCCATACTGGAACAATACTCAAGTGAGTTAAGGCCTGGGATTTTAGGCGATATCAAAAAAATTAAAAACGTTATATTTTAACTAACATTTACTGTAGAGGAATAAGCTTTGGTGTCATGAAGAGAATCATGATCCTTGGAATTTTTAAATATGTTTTGTCCCAATATGGAGGTCACGTGACCCAAAAGACGAAAAAACAGTAATTTCAAAATGGGGTAATGAGAATGTACTTTAATGAAAGTTTTTTTGATTTCAAAGTATTTAGTAGACCTAAACCAACAAGACCTGTCCTAGAATGGATGACTTTCTAAATAAATTAAGGAGAAAACAGCAGATTTTCAGAAGTGAATTTAGGTCACGTGACCTATTTCACCAAATATCTCCTTAACGGCAAGTGATGGACAACCATTCTAGGACAAGACTTGAAGACAACCTACTAAGAGATAATATTAACCTAAAACCGACATTTTCAATGTATGTTCTGGTTACCCCATTTTCAATTGAATTTCTTTCCATGGAAATGTCACATGACATGTCATGTGACTAGCCGATAGAGATTTTAACAGTCTTAAAATGTTAAAGTCGTTCAAAACTACAAACCTGCAAAGTTTTATCGAAATCGTTTGAGAATTAACTGAGATATAAAATTAAACCACTTTTATCTAATTTGCATATGCTGACCCAGGCCTTAACTCACTTGAGTATACAAAAAAGCAGAAAAACAACAACGATCCAAGACCATGGTCCATCGACACGTGTGAAACGAGACAGTGATTTGCATGATTCATTTGGCTGCGTTTGCTGACAGAGAAGTTTAGCAGATTCTAACGAAGTTTGAGGCCCGGTTTTTAGATTTCCATCGGAGCATGTTTTGGAGTCCATCGTTGTAGTGTGATTATAAAATATGGCACTTCATGTTGAGTCTTTACGATTTTTGTTTGACATATTATTTTGAGCTGTGGTCACCTGCAGAGACAATACTGTAACCCAATGTCATTTACTTAATACATACAGTATGTAGAATTGTACCATAATTACCGGAAGGTGATGATGGGTAGACTATTACCAGATAGAACTGTTCCGCGCAGGGGCGGATCCAGGATTTTTCAGAGAGGGTTGGCTAACATTTAACACTTATTTACTGGAACCGAGGGAAACAGTATGTTTTGTGGTCCCGAGACAGCTGATGTTTCCCGAAGCGAAGCCGCAGCTCCAGTGGCAATATAGAAAAGAATAATTATCTATAGTTCTCCATTTCCATTCTATGACAGCCTTAGTAGAGGTATGCTGTTTCAAGGAAGGTAAACAGAACATATTTTATTGCAAAATACTTTTTCAGAAATAATGTTTATTACTAAGGACAGCTAAACCATACCATTCCATTATTTCACAACCCCCAAACTTCATTGTTTTGTGCCAGCGTATTACGAATTTATGCGGGGACTGAAATTTATCCGGCCAGGCACACCGGTTCAATGGCGTTCAACACTGAAACAATTTTTTTATAGTATCCTGAACTTTGCCAAATATACACCTTTTCAGTCAAATTCAAAAGAATAATTAACTTGCTATCGAGGCCTAAGTGCACTGAGCTGAGAAGGTGTATTGTGAAGAGCCGTGGTTCACGATTTTGATGAAAGAGCCCATTATTATGAAAAGCAAAGAAAGTCACGACGAACTTTCAGGATCTTCAGTGGTGTTTGATAAACAAGAGCATGAACCAGGCGACCAATCGTATCAAGAAACTTGTTTCAAGCGAATTGATGGCCCTTGGTCGTGGATCATGAGTCTTCTACTGATGGCTTCGTCTCTTTTCATCTACGGTTGTGCTTCAACTTATGGAATACTGTTTCCTAAAATACTAAAAGACTTAAAATCAACACGAGCTCTTACAGGTAGGTATATAACTAGCTGAAAAGAGAAGAGACGAAAAGAGAAAATAACAGCTTTGAAATGGTTTCATTTGTTTACATTTTGAGCATTATCGCACGATTCCTAAAAAAAAGCTTACCATATAATTATCTATGAAATACCTGTATTTCTCTCTTTCGAAAAGTTGTTATTTTCAGTAGTGAAAATAACGCATTTGAGGTTTCTCTATATATTGGATTGGAAGTAAAAAAAGGTTTTTTACGGCCTCTACTAATTTGCATATATAATTATAAACAATATTATATGGTTGCTTGGAGGTACGAATTTTATCTTCTCGTGTTGAAAAACTCTCACTCGTTCACTACGTTCACTCGAAGAGACAAAGGATTTCTCATTAGTATCTATTTTCCATTCCTCCAACATGGCAGATGGTCTTTTATCTTTTGAATCTTATGGGAATGGTTGAAAACGATCAATATCGAAGAGCTAGAGGATCGCACTTAATCCGTACAATTGTACAAACTAAATAGTTCTATTTAGTTGTTTTTATTAAATCGTGCATGATGTACGCAAATAAAATTGAATTGATACAAATGAAGCATTCAATACCGTCTTGCTTCATGTTCACTTTTAGTACAAATTAATACTACTTATGCACGCTTTAAGTGCGATCACTTTAGTTTGAGTCATTTGTGTTATTATTCTGAGCTGTTTGTCCTGAGTTGACCCCCTACCTGTATGATCTCCATAAACAGTCCAGATAAAAATCCCCCCACAAAGCTTCATTTGTTAGATAACAGAATTTGAAATATTTGTTATTGGTGAAATTTAGATGGATTTCCTTTGACCTTGTACTTTTCGATATGTTTATATTTATAAGTAATACTAGAGTACAAACACTAAAACTGTGCAACGTAAATACTACTAAATACTGCTAAATTATGATAATTTCTATTGTTATTATTATTGTTATTTTTTCTATTGTTTTCTATTGTTATTTATTCTATTGTTTTTATGGCACTATTTTACAGTAAATAGTATAAAGCATTGCACGCTTTTAGTGTTTGTACTCTGTGGAACGAAGGAAATTAATGAATAAATAAATCTGTCATAGGCATTTTCGTTTTTTTTACTAAGTGCACAGGCATGCGCAGTAAGGTAAAAAATGTCCCACATGCAAGACATGCTAGTGCCAGATGGTGTAGGACACTTGTCTTCAGTTGCATCTCTTTTAACGTGTATCTTAGTCTAGTCTTCTATTATATTTGCATTGTGCACTGTATTAATATAGAAGGCAAAGGAACCCCAATTTTCCTCATTAATAACATGAGGGAGATTTAGAAGACAAAGGATTCTTTTGTCTTTTACTAAATTTCCCTCTATTTAATGTATGCAAGGGAAATTTAGCATTGTCTTTTACTAAATTTCCCTTGCATAAATTAAATAGAGGGAAATTTAGTAAAAGACAAGACAAAAGAATCCTTTGTCTTCTAATTTCGGGTTTGTAAACCCCTCGGAAGACAATGAAATCCGAGGTGATCACGGTATTGTTTTATTATATTAGTCCTGTGTGGTACAACCACCTACAGTTAAGACCACCACCTTCCTAGTATATCTGATTCAACTGGAACACGATATAGAAATGAAAGAAAGTTATAGTGCTTAGAAGGAGGCAATTCCGGGAGAAGTCCCTTAGGAATAAATTCGGAAAAATTAATTTCCGACCTAGCTGGGATTCGAACACACGACGTTCGGATTTGTACTACCGATGCTCTACCAGCTGAGCTACAAGGCCAGACTGGAAGCAGGTCGGGGTGAAATAGATGTTAGGTTGCGGTAATAGAATAATGTAAAGATATGAAATATCTCAACTGGAACAGTCTTAGTAACAATACATTCTGTACACTTAGGAAAACGAATACAAAGGAAACACTATTACAACTGTTCCAGTTGAGTGATAGCAACTAATAGTAACTATTTAGGTTTTATTTCATAGATATAATGGTAATTACTCTACACGCGGTTATTCATGAAGTGACGTCCACTCAAGCGAAATGATCGATTTTATGGCTTAATGCCGATGAGTTTATGGAAAAATATGTGTGCATGAATCTTCATACACATTGTTACTAGAAATGTAGAATGTTTTCAGTTAAAGTTAAAGTATCTGAAAAGTTACCACATTATGTACACATGAGAGCGTTCTATGTACATATATAAATGCCGTGTACCTGTATTCTCCTTTGGCAGAAGTCGTATGACAATAGTCTCCTTCACGGTTAAGTGCGCCATCTTCAGCTAGGTAGCCGTGCCTTTAAATCGAAGCGAGACAACCGTATAGCGTGCAATGGTAGATACCTGTGAATAATTGTCTGCAGGTGTGAAAGAAGGTTTTATCATTGCACGCTCAACGGTCGTCTCGCTTCGATGCAAAGGCACGGCTACCTAGCTGAAGATGGCGCAGAGAAGCGCGAAGAAGACTATTCTTCTTCCTATTATTGCTATTTCTTCAAGATATTACAAAACTATCCTATTTCTCATTCTATTCCAGCTGTTCCTGGTTCAATAGCTATAGCCAACAGTGGGCTTCTGGGCCCAGTTATAGGAAAACTATGCGATCATTTTGGATCTCGGAAAATCTTAKTGCTGGGAAGTCTGGTATCTGCAAGTGGACTTGTTGCTTCTTCGTTTGTACCAAACATTGGCTTACTGATTGTAACGTTTGGAATAGTTGTAGGCTCAGCAATTTGTCTGGTTTACTTTAGCACAATGGTAGCTGTTCCAATGTATTTCGACAAATATAAATTCGAAGCAACATCAATAGTATCAGTGGGGTGCGGGTCGTCTCTCTTGGTTATGACCCCTATTGTACAAAATTTAAACCAAGCTTTGGACTGGAGAAGGTCGATGCTCGCCATGGCTGGATTTTCTTTTATTCCTTTCGCAGTATCTCTTCTAATGCGCTCCAAGACTCAATTGGAGAATAGCGAGATTAGAGAAAATCGAACATATGAACGGAACGTTTCATCGTGTGGTTTAGGCGAATTGGTGTATTGGTCTGCTTTTAAAATTAAAATGTTTCTATTGGTGACAATTTTGGCTACGGTGATTGCCACGGGTCATAGTATGTCACTAGTTCATCTGGTGAGTGTAGAACCATTTTAGTAAGGTAAACCTGATCCTAACCCAACCACCCAACCACCCAACCACCCACCCAACCAAATAAAACAATCAAGGAAGTCAAATCGATCAGTCAGTCAAGCAATCAACCATCCACTGAATTAGCCCATCAATAATATCTCAATAGATTAATCAATTGGAGGTTGAGATCTCGCTATCTCACTATCTCACTATATATTTGTGAATCTATTGATTCTTTGCCTAAGGCTAAGTTCTCTGAAGACATTGGTATTGATAGCTATCGATCATCCTGGTTGTATTTTATCATTGGATTCAGCTCCACAACATCTAGACTCCTCGTTGGGAAATTCGGAAAAGTCGGTCCACTTCCTCTTCTAGATATAGCCCTTCTTGGTAATGTTATTCTCGCTTTGGGGAATTTTGTTCTACCGTCAACATCAGTGTACTATGGAATGGTGCTGTATTCCATTGGTTACGGTGTAGGGGAGGGGTTAGTATACACGCCAATTTTTAACATTGCAATTGATAGCGTACCAGCTGATAAAAGGGGTAGTGGTTATGGT